TGAGTAGGCCATGTTCAAATATACATACTAGAGCCTTTTCGGCTTGATTCTTATGCGAAGAAAAGTTCAGCGCCTACGATTTCGGCCGTTTTTTGCCGCCAAGTGCCTAGATGGCGCGTGAATCCCTATAGGCGTAGGGAAAAACATTCAACAACCTGAATTTTATTGCATATTCGAGTAGGCCATGTTCAAATACACATACTAGAGCCTTTTTTGCTTGGTTCTTGCGCGAAGAAAAGTTCAGCGCCTACGATTTCGGTCGTTTTTGCCGCCAAGTGCCTAGAAAGCGCGTGGATCCCTATAGGCGTAGGGAAACGCATTCAACAACCTGAATTTTATTGCATATTCGAGTAGACCATGTTCAATTAACATACTAGAGCCTTTTCAGCTTGGTTAATGCGCAAAAAAATTTCGGCGCCTACGATTTCGACAGTTTTTTTCCGCCAAGTGCCTAGAAAGCGCATGAATCCTTATAGGCGTAGGGAAACGCATTCAACAACCTGAATTTTATTGCATATTCGAGTGGCCCATGTTCAAATATACATACTAGAGCCTTTTCGGCTTGGTTAATGTGCGAACAAAGTTCGACGCCTACGATTTCGGTCGTATTTGCCGCCAAGTGCCTATAAAGCTCGTGAATCCTTATAGGCGTAGGGAAACGCATTCAACAACCTGAATTTTCTTGCATATTCGAGTATATTATGTTCAAATACACATACCAGAGCCTTTTCGGCTTGGTTCTTGCGCGAAGAAATGTTCGGCGCCTACGATTTCGATCATTTTTGCCGCCAAGTGCCTAGAAAGCGCGTGAATCCTTATAGGCGTAGGGAAACGCATTCAACAACCTGATTTCTATTGCATATTCGAGTAGACCATGTTCATTTATACATACTAGAGCCTTTTCGGCTTGGTTAATGCGCGAAGAAAAGTTCGGCGCCTACGATTTCGGCCGTTTTTTGCCGCCAAGTGCCTAGAAAGCGCGTAAATCCCTATAGGCGTAGGGAAACGCATTCACCAACCTGAATTTTATTGCATATTCGAGTATTTATGTTCAAATACACATACTAGAGCCTTTTCGGCTTGGTTCTTGCGCGAAGAAAAGTTCGGCGCCTACAATTTCGGCCGTTTTTTGCCGCCAAGTGCCTAGAAAGCGCGTGAATCCCTATAGGCGTAGACAAACGCATTCAACAACCCGAATTTTATTGCATATTCGAGTATATCATGTTCAAATACACTTACTAGGCCTTTTCGGCTTGGTTCTTGCGCGAAGAAAATTCGGCGCCTACGATTTCGACGGTTTTTTCCGCCAAGTGCCTAAAAAGCGCGTGAATCCCTATAGGCATAGGGAAACGCATTCAACAACCTGAATTTTATTGCATATTCGAGTGGCCCATGTTCAAATATACATACTAGAGCCTTTTCGGCTTGGTTAATGCGCGAAGAAAAGTTCGGCGCCTACGATTTCGGTCGTTATTGCCGCCAATGTCAGAACATATATTGCATATGTTTTGTATAAGTGCATGCAATCTAGCTCTAGTGTAGTCGCAACTGTATTCTGTGTGGTGGTGCACCACTCCTAGCTTGCTTCTCTTCTATTTGTACCCAACATTCCATAGTGCAAGCCCTTCTTGCTTGGACATCTCTCTTGTGTCTAGGCTAAGCCCTAGCTCCTACTCCTAACTATGCTTTCTAAGCCTAAACCTAGCTCTCTGGGTGCTTAGTATCTTGACATGGTAACAGAGCCGTTACGTCCTTGGCCTGTGGGCCCCACGATGCTTCCGCTGCTACTTCCTGCTATTTCCTGCCTGCCGCGCGCCCCGGGCGCGCGGCGATTTTTCTTCCCGCCGCGCGCTCGGGGCGCGCGGCGGTTTTTCCTGCCCCGTCGAACCGCGTGTCGCCCCCCGTCGCCCGTCGCGAAGCCCCAGTCGGGGACCCGCGCGTCGCCCCCCGTCGCCCGACGCGGCCCGCGCGACCTGCGCCAGGCCCGCGCGCGGCCCGTACAGGCTGCGCCAGGCCCGCGCGCGGCCCGTACGGGCTGCGCCAGGCCCGCGCGCGGCCCGTACGGGCTGCGCCAGGCCCGCGCGCGGCCCGGGCAGCCCGCGCGCGCCTCGTCCGGCCTGCTGCAGGCCCGTGCGCGCGCCATCGTCTGTCCCCCGAGCTTCTGCCGGCGCCCCACCCCCGCTACTGCCCGCGTTCCTGTGTTAGGGTTTGGGGGTGGAGGGTATGGGGGTGCCGTGTGTGTGAGCCGTCCCCTGCTCCTCCTCCTCCTCCGTCTCCCACTGCTGCAGCTGCCGCTGAGGGGGGTGGATGTGTGGGAGCCGAGGGTTAGGGTTTAAGGGGGGTGCCGTGGGAGTGGAGCTAGGGGTTCAGCAGGGGGTGTGTGTCGAGGGGTGTGGGACTGTTGGGGGAGGTTGAGCGGAGGCCGCCGTCGTGTCGTCTGCAGCGCCTGTATTCCGGGGTTCTGATAGCCACCGGTAGCTCAGAGAGCCGGTTGCACCTGTCGCCCGTGGGTCCGTTGCTCCTGTCGCTGCTGATCAGACGCAGAGCCTGTTACTCCTGTATTCCGGGGCCCTTGCTCCCGGTAGCCACTAGAGCTGCACCAGAGCCGTCTGTTGCCCGTGTGTCTGCAGCTTCAGTCGTCGCCTCCACTCCTCTTCTCCTCTCACAGTCACTCCTCCTCCTCACTTCGCCTCTTCTTCTGCTGCGCCCTGCAAGGTGTACCACTTCTGGGGGTGTTCTGCACAAGGGCTATTCCTGCATGCACTTAGGGGGTGTGTCAGAACATATATTGCATATGTTTTGTATAAGTGCATGCAATCTAGCTCTAGTGTAGTCGCAACTGTATTCTGTGTGGTGGTGCACCACTCCTAGCTTGCTTCTCTTCTATTTGTACCCAACATTCCATAGTGCAAGCCCTTCTTGCTTGGACATCTCTCTTGTGTCTAGGCTAAGCCCTAGCTCCTACTCCTAACTATGCTTTCTAAGCCTAAACCTAGCTCTCTGGGTGCTTAGTATCTTGACAGCCAAGTGCCTATAAAGCGTGTAAATTCTTTTAGGCGTAGGGAAACGCATTCAACAACCTGAATTTTATTGCATATTCGAGTAAATCATGTACAAATACACATACTAAAGCCTTTTCGGCTTGGTTCTTGCGCAAAGAAAAGTTCGGCGCCTACGATTTCGGCCGTTTTTGCTGCCAAGTGCCTAGAAAGCGCGTGAATCCCTATAGGCGTAGAGAAAAGCATTCAACAACCTAAATTTTATTGCATATTCGAGTAGGCCATGTTCAAATACACCTACTAGAGCCTTTTCGGCTTGGTTCTTGCGCGAAGAAAAGTTCGGCGCCTACGATTTCGGCCGTTTTTTGCCGCCAAGTGCCTAGAAAGCGCGTGAATCCTTATAGGCGTAGGGAAACGCATTCAACAACCTGAATTTTATTGCATATTCGAGTAGACCATGTTCAATTATACATACTAGAGCCTTTTTGGCTTGGTTCTTGCGCGAAGAAAAGTTTGGCGCTTACGATTTCGACCGTTTTTTTTTGCCGCCAAGTGCCTAGAAAGCGCGTAAATCCCTATAGGCGTAGGGAAACGCATTCAACAACCTGAATTTTATTGCATATTCGAGTAGATCATGTTCATTCAAATATACATACTAGAGCCTTTTCGGCTTGGTTAATGCGCGAAGAAAAGTTCGGCGCCTACGATTTCGGTCGTTTTTTTGCCGCCAAGTGCCTATAAAGCGCGTAAATCCTTATAGGCGTAAAGAAACGCATTAAACAACCTGAATTTAATTGCATATTCAACTATATCATGTTCAAATACACTTACTAGGGCCTTATTGGCTTGGTTCTTGCGCGAAGAAAAGTTCGGCGCCTACGATTTTGGCCGTTTTTTCCGCCAAGTGCCTAGAAAGCGCGTGAATCCCTATAGGCGTAGGGAAAAGCATTCAACAACCTGAATTTATTGCATATTCGAGGGGCCCATGTTCAAATACACATACTAGAGCCTTTTCAGCTTGGTTCTTGTGCGAAGAAAAGTTCGGCGCCTACGATTTCGGCCGTTTTTGCCGCCAAGTGCCTAGAAAGCGCGTGAATCTCTATAGGCGTAGGGAAAATCATTCAACAACCTAAATTCTATTGCATATTCAAGTGGCACATGTTCAAACACACATACTAGAGCCTTTTCGGCTTGGTTCTTGCGCGAAGAAAAGTTCGGCGCCTACGATTTCGGCCGTTTTTTTCCGCCAAGTGCCTAGAAAGCGCATGAATCCCTATAGGCGTAGGGAAAAGCATTCAACAACCTGTTTTTCATTGCATATTCGAGTGGCCCATGTTCAAATACACATATTAGAGCATTTTTGCTTGGTTCTTGCGCGAAAAAATTCGGCGCCTACGATTTCGGCGTTTTTTTCCGCCAATTGCCTAAAAGCGCGTGAATCCCTATAGCATAGGGAAACGCATTCACAACCCTCAATTTTATTGCATATTCGAGTAGACCATGTTTAATTATACATAATAGAGCCTTTTTGGCTTGTTTAATGCGCGAAGAAAAGTTCGGCGCCTACGATTTCGGTCGTTATTGCCGCCAAGTGCCTATAAAGCGTGTAAATCCTTTTAGGCGTAGAGAAACGTGTCGGAGTTAACAGACAGGAATGACTGAACTAACAAGGAAGGCAATACAAATAGTAAACCCTAGAGATCTGTACCCCATATGGTCTAACCCACTGTAGCCTAACAACAACCAACACATATAATGTTTGACACACCCCCATAGGCAAAGTGGGGGAGACCTAGGGGTCACAAGACCAGTCAAGGCAAAGCAAGGCAACAACAAGCTCAGGGTGGATCTCAAGGATTCCACACAAATTCCGAGCACAAGCTAGTGGTCACAAGACCAGTTCACATGCAGGTTAATAACAGAGCAAGAGATACAGTGATCACAACCTAGCAAGAGTAAACATGCAGGTATATATATATAGCAATCACAGTACAAGCAAAGTCAAGAGGTAAGCAAGTGAGGTCCAGTAGGCACAAGGCCTAGTAGAGTGCAGAAGCGCTGATGGTCACGAGGCTGAAGCGCCTTGGTGAACACATCAGCAGTGTTGGCCTCAGTGGCCACGTAGCGAATACAAAGCTGACCGCGCTGCTGCAGCTCTCGAGCAAGGAAGTACCGCAGAGCGATGTGCTTCGTTCTGTGCTCCAGTCTGTGCTCCTCACACAAGGCAATGGCAACCTTGTTGTCGACGTACAGCACTGGAGGAGAACGAGGCCGCTCTCCGAGGTCGGTCAGCAGATAGGTCAGCCAGCGTAGCTCCTGGGCAGCCATGGCTGTGGCGTAGATCTCAGCCTCACAACTGGAGCCGAGAACAGAAGAAGAGCGCGTAGAGCGCCAAGAAACTGAGCCAGAGCCAAGGCTGAAGGTGTAACCCTGAGACAACCGCTGAGTGGCCTGGTCGTCCGCCCAAGAAGCGTCTGAGTGCCCTGTGAGAACAACTCGGTCTCGCCCTCCAAGCACAAGTCCCATGCCCGACGTACTGCACAAGTAGCGCAACACCCTCTTAGCGGCATCCATGTGCTCCTTCCTGTGACGGCCAGGAGCGACATAGCGTGCAAGGATGCTAAGAGGGTATGCAAGGTCAGGTCGAGTGCAGGTCATCAGGTACATGAGGCAGCCCACAAGCTCTGGATACGGGCCACTCGGCTCTACGGACTCATCCGAAGGCAGAGCTGAGAGCGAGTGACCGGTAGGCAGAGGAGTGGACTGAGGCGAGGAGTACGTGAAGCGGAAGCGCTGGAGAACCTGCTGCACCATGTGTGACTGAGTCAGGGTGATGGTGCGCCGTGCTCTGTCCCAGGTGATCCGCAAGCCAAGATAGCTTGTCAGCTCACCCAGGTCTGTGCACGTGTGTCTCCTCTGCAGCTCCGACTTCACGTGGGCAAGTGCCGCAGTGTCAGCAGTGGCAAAGACCAAGTCATCGACGTACACGAGGATGTAGAACGGCGGCAGCGAAGTGTCGGTGCGTAGGAACAGCGACGGGTCAGCTGTAGAAGGCGCGAACCCAAGAGCCGCAAGTGTAGTCCTCAGTGTGTCGTGCCACTCACGCGGAGCCTGGCGGAGACCGTAGACCGGCCGCTGAAGCCTCCACTGGGTACCAGGAGGAAACGACCCAGTGAAACCAGGTGGGCGGCGCAGCCAGATCTCCTCGTGCAGGCTGCCCTGCAAGAAAGCAGTGCTGAAGTCAAGTGAGTGAAGCTCGTAGTCGCGGTGAGCGGCTATGTGCAGCAGCACCCGAAGAGTGGTCATCTTCGGGGTGGGGGAGAAGGTCTGAAAGAAGTCAACTCCCTCTCGCTGACTGAAGCCTCGAGCCACGTAACGCGCCTTGAAGACAGGCGGAGAACCCGGCGGCCGCTTCACCCTGAAAATCCACATGCCACTGACGATGTTCGCCCCAGGAGGGGGAACCTCGTCTACGTAGGTGCCTGTGGACTTCCAGGAGGCCATCTCTGCGTCCATGGCTGTCTGCCACTGAGAGGAGTAGGGACCCGCCATCGCCTCAGCGTAAGTGCGCGGGGTCGGGATGTCTGGTGCATCCGGGTCTCCCTCAGGGGCAACTAGCAAGGACACGAGACGGGGCAAAGCAGCAGCAAGACACTGGAACTCCTCCTGTCTGTCCTCAAGGACGTCCGTGCCAAGAGCACACTCACCCCCGACGGACGGAGGACAGACAGACTCAGACTCAGCAACAAGGCTAGCAGCGTAGTCTAGACGACAGGCAGCAGCAAAGTCAACCAACTCAGCGACAAGAGCAGACGCAGCCGAGGACTCAAAGGTAGGGTCAGTGACAACAGTAGCAAGGAGACGCGTGACAGTAGGGTGCTCAGCACGATACCGGTCAGACGCAGGGTCCGGAACGTCAGGCAAAGAGGACGCAGGAGGAGACGGTAGAGGGACACGCTGAGGAGCAGTAGAGGGACGCAGAGTCATGTAGTGAGTGCCTGGGACAGGAGGAGGACGCTCACGACGGACACGACTACCAGTGCGAGCAGGACGAACAGGCGACGCAGGACGAGACTCAGGCTCACGACGCTCTGTAAGACCTCCTGTGGGACCAGTGTAAGGAGAGGGAGCAGGGAGAGGCGAGGTAGGCGGTAACTGTGACTGCGGCTGGACAGGCGGAGGACACTCTATGGAGGGAGGAGGACAAGGAGGAGGAGCCTGCCCAAGAACCTGCTGAAGGAGCGGTACGAAGTACGGTCGCGGCCGCGCAGCGTCGCCGGAAGCAGAGGAGACTCCAGTGGCCGGGTCCTCAGTACCAGTAGGAGCTCCAGCGTCCGGGTCCACAGCACCAGCAGCAGCTCCACTGGCCGGGTCCTCAGCACCAGTAGTAGCTCCAACGCCCGGGTCCTCAGCAGCAGCAGTAGTGCAACCGCTCGGGTCCTCAGCTCCAGCAGCAGCTCCACCGTCCGAGTCCTCAGCACCAGCAGCAGCTCCACCGTCCAGGTCCTCAGCACCAGCAGCAGCTCCACCGGCCGGGTCCCCAGCTCCAGCAGCAGCTCCAACGTCCGAGTCCTCAGCACCAGCAGTAGCTCCACCAGGCGGGTCCGCAGCACCAGCAGCAGCTCCCACGTCCGGGTCCTCAGCACCAGCAGCAGCGCCACCCCCAGGGTCCGCAGCACCAGGAGCACCACTCCGAAGACTGCAGCGCCGTGTGTACCCTCCGCGGATCTGCTGAATGGGGGGGAGCTCCTGGGTAGGAGGGGAAGTACCGGGACGAGCTCCAGCAGCACCTCTCCGAAGGCGGCAGTACTCGAGGTACCTCTCCTGCAGCTGCTGGGAGGAGAGGGCTCCTCCAGGTGTAGCACGCTCAGGCTCAGCACCCCCAGACGCAGCACCCCCAGACCCAGCACCCCCAGGCTCAGCACCCCCAGGCTCCGCACCCCCAGACTCAGCACTCCCAGGCTCAGCACCCCCAGACGCAGCACCCCCAGGCTCAGCACCCCCAGCAGGACGAGAGTCAACAGCTACCTCGACAGGCTCACCCGGGTCTACCTGGGACACACCTGAGGGAGCGGCACCCTGAGGGGGGAGGGGGTCTGGTACCTCAGCACCTGGAGCGAGGAAGAGAGGCGGGGGGGGGAGCGGGGCAGTGCGGTAGGGGAAGAGGCGGTAGTAGGGGACGGACTCGTCAAAAGTGACGTCCTGAGAGGCCAGGACACGACGCGAGGTGGGGTGGTAGAACTGCCAGCCAGGGGCGTCCGGGACAAAGCCAAGGAAGACGCAGGGGACAGCGCGACGGGAGAGCTTGTCCGCGGACGTGTCGCGGACAAAAGCTCGGGATCCCCAGACCCGAAAACGCGACGCATCGCCAGCCTCTCCCGTCCAACGCAGTGTCGGAGAAGTCTCGGGCAAGGAGACACGGGGCCAGAGGTTGAGCTGATGTGCAGCGTATCGGACCACAAACGGCCACAGAAAATGGGGGGCAGCCGCATGGCTCAAGGAGGTACGAGCGACCTCCATGACCAGACCAATGCGGCGCTCAGCAACCCCATTCTGCTGTGGAGAGGCCGGAAGCGTGTACGACTGCTCAATGCCCTCCTGCTGACAGAAGGCCTCCAATAGGCCAGAGGAAAACTCCCACCTCTGTCAGAGTGCAGACGCAGGACAGGGAAGTCGGAGCGGAAACGCTCACGGAGCTGGAGACGAGATCTGCGGATCCAAGGGATCAAGACATCAGGGACGTCACCCTTGGCGCGCAAGGGGAAGACCGTGGTGTAGCGCGAGAAGTCGTCAACAACAATCAGGAAGTACCTCTCCTGGCTCTGACCACGGACGCGGGCTGGGCCCCACACGTCCATGTGGAGCGTCTGCAAGGGAGCAGTCGTCGGGGGAAAGGAGGAGGAGTGAGGAGCGGCGCGCTGCCGTCCCTCAACACAGGGAATACAGGGAGGAGCAGGCGAGTCGGGAAGGGGAGGGAGCACCCTGGGAAGACCAGCAACAAGGTCCCGTTTGTGCATGGCCCGAAGGCGCTGCACAGACGGGTGACCAAGGCGGTGGTGCCAAAGGACAGTCTCATGCGCCAGAGAGCGACACGAGCAGGGGGCGGACAGCTGACCTGACGCAGACGCAGACGCGGACGCAGCTACCTGAGGGGACTCAGTGGTCAGTGTGTAAAGGTCCGACCCCGGCTCCCGAGTGAAGGTAGCCAGGTGGCGACCCGTCCGAGCACACGTGCAGTGTGTCACGCGCTCGTAGGCAGGGGTGAACTGGTGAACACCCCCGTCCTGGAGCGCACTACCTGCCACCAAGTTCGTAGAGAACGAGGGGAGGTAGAGACCTGACAGCGTGCCGGACGGGACCGCCGGACAAGGAAGGACAGTGGAGGAGGTCGCAATGACCGGACCCCCAGAGGGGTCAGCAAGGGAGACAGCAACTGGCCGAGCGAGTGGCTCAAGGACAGTGCGGTCACGAAAGAAGGAGCGAGAAGCACCTGAGTCCAGTGTGAAGGTGTGCAGTGCTGCAGTCGACTCAGTACCAGGGGGCACGGACGCACGAGCACCTGGGGCTGCAGCCTCACCAGGACGTGTGGGAGCAGACGCACTAGCACCTAGAGCGGCAGCCGGACTGGCCTGAATGCCCGGGTCGGGCGGAACACGCAAGTACTGAGCACCTTCTCCACTAATAGACATCGCATACATGGCAGTGAGAATAGCATCAAAGTCTAAAGCCCAAATATCAACACCCCTCTTTTCCAGATCAGCCCAGCGCGGCAGCTCAGTGGCAGCAGGAAACTGAGTGCGCCACGCGTCGTTAAGGCGCGCGAAGCAGCGCTGCGTGGGGTGCGGCCTCCCACACTGCTGGCCGCTGCGGTCACCTGTGCGAATGACGTACGTGCAGGTAACGCTACGCTGCGCATACCACTCACGGGCGGCCTGAAGCGTCGGGGCGGGCTGCTGACTCTGCCCTCCGCCAGTGCCTCACGACCACCACCCCCACCACCCGCCGCCCCGGCCACCTCCACCCCTGCCGCCGCCACGACCACCTCCGCCTCCGCTGCCGCCTCCACCACCACTCCCACCGCTGCTGTCTCCTCCCCCACTGCCGCCACTAGTCTCCCCAGCCGCGCCTCCACTCCCACCGCCTCCACCCCCACCTCCTCCGCCGCCACCACCACCCACCCTGCCCCCCTTGCTCCTGCGGCGCCCGCTCGAAGCAGACGCGGTCCCGACCTTCTCAGCTCACACAAGAAGGTCAACAGCAGCAGCAGAGGCGACAGAGGGGAGGAGGGGGGAAGGGGAACACCCCTCAAAGAACGGGGTGCGGGGGTCGCCACGAGAGGTGCCTACAGCGACGATGCTCGCCTCAGCTGCAAGCAGTTCCTTCTCGAGGAGGGCAACAGTGAGCTCAGTGGGGGAGCGAGAGAGGAAGTGGTCCCTGACTGCGCGCAGAGATCAGGGAGGCGGGTGACGATATGGTAAGAGAGTGATCCAGAGCGGGGGGGGTTGCTAGTGAGAAACTCGGCAGGCATAGCAGCGCGAAAGCGGGCCTCACTAGTCTTAAGGTGGGTGATGAGGTCTGCGACAGTGTGAAAGGAGGCTAGGTTGGGGAACAGGTAGGGGAGAGTGAGGCGGCCTAGCGTGGCAGAAGCAGGTGAGGAGTAGCGGGCAACTACAGCTGTGTAGAGGTCCTTAGCAGTCTTGCACTGGCCGAAGTGCTCGCGCTCGTCTAGTGGCAGGGAGTTGCGAATAGCAAAGCGAGCGTGCGCATCACGGGTCTGCCACTGGGAACGCAGAGTGCTGTCAGCAGACGAGTCAGGGGCAGTGGCATGGCCTAGGGCGTGGTCGTACAGTGAGATATCTTCCTTGGCAGTGAGCTGTAAGAACAGGTGCAGGTCATCTAGCCAGGTTTCGAACTTCACCGGACGGCCCTCGGCATCGAAAGCTAGAACGGGAGGGCTAGCCATAGCGACAGTAGCAGTAGGAATCAGGCCGCTGGAACAGTGTGCGGAGAGTCAACGGGGCCGGCTGGGCCACTAGGTAAGGCGCGGCAGGCGGTGGTCGACTGTCCTAGAGGTACACTAGCGGCAGTAGTAGGTAGTGGGCACAGTGTGCACGGTAGGTAGAAAATAATAGCAGTGAGAGCGTGGGCCTCGCGGGCGGCGGCTGCAGAAGCGCACGAGTGGCAGCGGCGGTGCACGAGTAGCGGTGGCGCACGGGCAGCAGCAGCGTAGGGGCAGCAACGGCGCTCGGAGGCAGCGAGCGGTGCGCAAGCAGCAGCGGGGAGGACGCAGCGTACAGCGGCTGCGGGCAGCAGGGCGTGCGCGAGTGGGCGACGGCGGCTGCGGGCGGGCGGCCACTGAGACGGCGGCTACGGGCGGCTGCGGGGCGTGTGCGAGCAGGCGACGGGCGGCTGCGGGGCGAGCGCGAGCAGGCGACGGGCGGCCTGCGGGCGTGCGCGGGGCAGGCGACGCGGCGGCTGCGGGGCGTGCGCGAGAAGGCGACGAAGCGGCTGCGGGGCGTGCGCTAGCGGGCAACGAGCGGCTGCGGGGCGTGCGCGAGCGGGCGACGAGCAGCTGCGGGGCGGTGCGCGCGCAGCAACGGGCGGCTGCGGGGCGAGCGCGAGCAGGCCGACGGGCGGCTGCGAAGCGTGCGCTAGCGGTCGACGGCGGCTGCGAGCGAGCGGCTGTTGCGACGGCGGGCTGCTGCGGCCTGCGGGGCGTGCGCTAGCGGGCGACGGGCGGCTGCGGGCGTGCGCGAGGGAATGCGACCGCGCTCGTGCGGCTAAGGGGCGGCCGCGACGGTGGCGTGAGGGGCCTCTAGCGGGGCTTCGATCGACGGGGCCCGCGGGGCCTGAAAAAAAAAGATTAATAATAATAAAGCGCTCGAGGGCGCTACGTGGGAGGCGCTAAGAAGGCACACGGGGGGTAGTAGGTAGGTAGGTAGGTAGGTGGGCCCTTAGGACGGTCCTAGCGAAGGACCTGCTCTGAAACCATGTCGGAGTTAACAGACAGGAATGACTGAACTAACAAGGAAGGCAATACAAATAGTAAACCCTAGAGATCTGTACCCCATATGGTCTAACCCACTGTAGCCTAACAACAACCAACACATATAATGTTTGACAAAACGCATTCAACAACCTGAATTTTATTGCATATTCGAGTAAATCATGTACAAATATACATACCTAAAGCCTTTTCGGCTTGGTTCTTGCGCGAAAAAAAGTTCGGCGCCTACGATTTCGCCCGTTTTTGCTGCCATTGCCTAGAAAGTGAGTGAATTCTTATAGGGCGTAGGGAAAAGCATTCAACAACCTAAATTTTATTGCGTATTCGAGTAGGCCATGTCAAATTCACCTAATTTTATTGCGTATTCGAGTAGCCTTTTCGGCTTGGTTCTTGCGCGAAGAAAAGTTCGGCGCCTACGATTTCGACCGTTTTTGCCGCCAAGTGCTAGAAAGCGCGTGATCCTTATAGGCGTAGGGAAACGCATTCAACAACCTGAAATTTTATTGCATATTCGAGTGAACATGTCCAATTATACATACTAGAGCCTTTTTGGCTTGGTTCTTGCGCGAAGAAAAGTTTGGCGCTTACGATTTCGACGGTTTTTGCCGCCAAGTTCCTAGAAAGCACGTCGTAAATCCTTATAGGCGTAGGGGAAACGCATTCAAAACCTGAATTTTATTGCATATTCGGTAGATCATGTTTATTTATACATACTAGAGCCTTTTCGGCTTGGTTAATGCGCGAAGAAAAGTTCGGCGCCTACGATTTCGGCCGTTTTGCCGCCAATGCTATAAAGCCGCGTAAATCCTTATAGGCGTAAAGAAACGCATTCAAAAACCTGAATTTAATTGCATATTCAACTATATCATGTTCAAATACACATACTAGAGCCTTTTTGGCTTGGTTCTTGCGCGAAGAAAAGTTCGGCGCCTACGATTTTGGCCGTTTTTTCCGCCAAGTGCCTAGAAAGCGCGTGAATCCCTATAGGCGTAGGGAAAAGCATTCAACAACCTGAATGTTAATTTTATTGCATATTCGAGGGGCCCATGTTCAAATACACATACTAGAGCCTTTTCAGCTTGGTTCTTGTGCGAAGAAAAGTTCGGCGCCTACGATTTCGGCCGTTTTTTGCCGCCAAGTGCCTAAAAAGCGCGTGATCCCTATAGGCATAGGGAACGCATTCAACAACCTAAATTCTATTGCCTATTCAAGTGGCACATGTTCAAACACACATACTAGAGCCTTTTCGGCTTGGTTCTTGCGCGAAGAAAAGTTCGGCGCCTACGATTTCGGCCGTTTTTTCCGCCAAGTGCCTAGAAAGCGCGTGAATCCCTTTAGGCGTAGGGAAAAGCATTCAACACCTGTTTTTCATTGCTTATTCAAGTGGCCCATGTTCAAATACACATATTAGAGCATTTTTTTCTTGGTTCTTGCGCGAAGAAAAGTTCGGCGCCTACGATTTCGGCCGTTTTTTTCCGCCAATTGCTAAAAAGCGCGTGAAGCCCTATAGGCATAGGGAAAGCATTAACAACCTCAATTTTATGCATATTCGAGGTAGACCATGTCAATATACCATATAGAGGAGCCTTTTTTGGCTTTGTTTAATGCGCGAAGAAAGTTCGGCGCTACGATTTCGGTCGTTATTGCCGCCAAGTGCCTATAAAGCGGGTTAAATCCTTTTAGGCGTAGGGAAACGCATTCAACAACCTGAATTTTATTGCATATTCGAGTAAATCATGTACAAATACACATACTAAAGCCTTTTCGGCTTGGTTCTTGCGCAAAGAAAAGTTCGGCGCCTACGATTTCGACCGTTTTTTTTGCTGCCAATTGCTAGAAAGTGAGTGAATTCCTATAGGCGTAGGGAAAAGCATTCAACAACCTAAATTTTATTGCGTATTCGAGTAGGCCATATTCAAAACACCTACTAGAAGCCTTTTCGGCTTGGTTCTTGCGCGAAGAAAAGTTCGGCGCCTACGATTTCGACCGTTTTTGCCGCCAAGTGCTTAGAAAGCGCGTGAATCCTTATAGGCGTAGGGAAACGCATTCAACAACCTGAATTTTATTGCATATTCGAGTAGAAAAATGTTCAATTATACATACTAGAGCCTTTTTGGCTTGGTTCTTGCGCGAAGAAAAGTTTGGCGCCTACGATTTCGACCGTTTTTGCCGCCAAGTTTCCTAGAAAGCACGTAAATCCTTATAGGCGTAGGGAAACGCATTCAACAACCTGAATTTTATTGCATATTCGAGTAGATCATGTTATTTATACATACTAGAGCCTTTTCGGCTTGGTTAATGCGCGAAGAAAAGTTCGGCGCCTACGATTTCGGTCGTTTTTTGCCGCCAAGTGCCTATAAAGCGCGTAAATCCTTATAGGCGTAAGGAGACGCATTCAACAACCTGAATTTAATTGCATATTAAGTATATCATGTTCAATACACTTACTAGGGCCTTCTTGGCTTGGTTCTTGCGAGAAGAAAAGTTCGGCGCCTACGATTTTGGCCGTTTTTGCCGCCAAGTGCCTAGAAAGTGCGTGAATCCCTATAGGCGTAGGGAAAAGCATTCAACAACCTGAATTTTATTGCATATTCGAGGGGCCCATGTTCAAATACACATACTAGAGCCTTTTCAGCTTGGTTCTTGTGCGAAGAAAGTTCAGCGCCTCATTTCGGCCGTTTTTGCCGCCAAGTGCCTAGAAAGCGCGTGAATCCCTATAGGCGCAGGGAAAATCATTCAACAACCTAAATTTATTTGCATATTCAGTGGCACATGTTCAAACACACATACTAGAGCCTTTTCGGCTTGGTTCTTGCGCGAAGAAAAGTTCGGCGCCTACGATTTCGGCCGTTTTTTCCGCCAAGTGCCTAGAAAGCGCATGAATCCCTATAGGCGTAGGGGAAAAGCATTCAAACACCTGTTTTTCATTGCTTATTCGAGTGGCCCCTGTTTCAAATACACATACTAGAGCCTTTTTGGCTGGTTCTTGCGCGATGAAAAGTTCGCCACCTACGATTCGGCGTTTTTGCACCAAGTGCCAACAAATCCGTGAATCCCTATAGGCCAGGGTCGTCGCTAGCAGACATTTTTTTGTCTTTTTGGCGGATAATCAGACTTGTTTTTTGGATTAATCTGATGGGCCAGTCGGCATCAGACAAAACTTTTTTTTTTTTTTTTTTGCTCGGAGGGTCCATCTGATGCATCAGACATGCTTCAGATCCTAGGGACGACCCGCTTGGCGTAGGGATGACCTGAACTTTATTGCATATTCGAGTGGCCCATGTTCAAATACACATACTAGAGCCTTTTCGGCTTGGTTCTTGCGTGAAATAAGTTCGGCGCCTACAATTTCGGCCGTTTTTGCCGCCAAGTGCCTAGAAAGCGCGTGAACCGAGCATCGTGACTATAACATCATGACCAAGCATCGTGACCATAGCATCGTGACCATAGCATCGTGACCAGAGCATCGTGACCAGAGCATGGTGAGCCGAGCATCGTGAGCAGAGCATCGTGAGCAGAGCATCGTGACCAGAGCATCGTGACCAGAGCATCGTGACCAGAGCATCGTGACCAGAGCATCGTGACCAGAGCATCGTGACCAGAGCATCGTGACCAGAGCATCGTGACCAGAGCATCGTGACCAGAGCATCGTGACCAGAGCATCGTGACCAGAGCATCGTGACCAGAGCATCGTGACCAGAGCATCGTGACCAGAGCATCGTGACCAGAGCATCGTGACCAGAGCATCGTGAGGAGCAGAGCATCGTGACCAGAGCATCGTGACCAGAGCATCGTGACCAGAGCATCGTGACCAGAGCATCTTGACCAGAGCATCGTGACCAAGCATCGTGATCAGAGCATCGTGAACAGAGCATCGTATCTAGAGCATCGTGACCAGAGCATCGAAACTAGAGCATCGTGACCAGAGCACCGTGCCCCCTATAGGGTAGGAGAAA